CTGCCATCAATATGATGAATTTGTTGGCTTTGCACCGTGGGCACAGCCGGTGGCTGGCCCTGCCAGGCGACCTGCCCCAGATGCTCCTCAAGAAGATGCCCTGAGAGCGGCCATGGGGGCATCAGTTTGAAAAAATGCTGGCATGTGAGAGAGCGCTTGAAAGTCGCAGAAAAGCCACAAGCACCATCTAGATCCCTCTAGTAGTTGGATATGCAGTGCCATATAAATATCAAACGTGATTTTAGTATAGGATGATGAATGTAATGGCTGTCCAGCCAGCAAAGCAACGCATATTATTTATCAGATATCATCAATTAGATACGGTTTTGATATCATTGAGATGGTGGCTATCTCTCTTGTTGGGGGACCACATGTTAGCGCGCCCTGTTAATGAAGAACAGCACAACTGCGGCGTCTCTTGCGGAGCAGAGACGCTGAAGACATTCCGACCCAACTTGATTATCGAATCGACAGACGACCCCAAGTGGAGGAGAGAGCTTGCCTTTGATTTTGAAGCAGCATGGCTAGTTTTATCTAGTTCTTCACTTCGCCACCATCATTTGAATTGCATGGAGTTGCATAGATTATATACCTGATGTTTTCGTCAACTGGCCTTATTTGGAATATGCCTTTGCAGCCACAATTGTTTTTTTCCATTGTTGTAGCCACTCTAGCAGATTTGAAGGAGTTAACACAGACCCCGTCTAGGTTGTCCATTTGGGGTATTTTTTTGCCCTTGAAATGGTCTTTCCTTGCACCGCTGCATGGGGTGCCGGTGCACACAAGGCTAGTAATATCCATCTGACTTTGGTGCAATTCACAATGTAGTAGACAACAGGAACAAAGGATCGGGAATGCATGCAAAAAACCGAAAGTGTTGGTCCATAGGTATCCCTCATGATGGGCAAGCAAGGGAAATCAAGCATGGTAGTGACTATCACAGATGCAAACCAAAGATTCTGTCAGGGATGTTTCCATATTTACCTGCATTTTACCCGGTACTGGGGTTCTCTTCCTCTCAGGGGAAGCTTCGTTCATGTTTTAAACCGTAATGACTTTTTCCACCTTGGACAGAAGCACCAGTCCTGCTGAGCCACAATCCAATTTGAGCTGCAAACAGATTCTCAGAATCCCTCAAAATCTTCTCAGAGCGTGCTTCTGCCCAGGATCATCAGGAGCATTGCTGTAGACAGCAGCGTCAATCGTGTCAAAGATGTAGTTGCTGAGTTATGTTTGATAACTTGGCGCTACAGACTCCTGATGAAGTCTACATACTGCCAAGCCGGCCATGCATCGCTTACTCTGAAGCTACTCGTACCTACAGCCTTGAAAGATGTTGGCATTTTCCTTGCCAAAAAGCCGGGGCAAAGTACCATGATTGATTTCGCACATTTTCCCACCAATGTGTATTAAATCTGTGAGGCAAAATTGGCAGCTTTTTGCATCCTTCCTGACGCTGCTCGCGATATCTCGGCAGAACGGGAAAGGCCTCCAGCACAGACAAACTTGCTGTTGCGGGAGAGTTATATACATGAGAAAAGGAGCCGTCTGCTTTTTGCGGTTTGCGTTTTCGACAGGGAAAGGGTCCTGAAGCGAAACGGATAGAAATGTGATGGACATAATTATGTGACATAATATATATATATATTTAGAATTTAATGGAAGTTACACTAGCTTGCAGCTGTCAGAAAGTTTGGTAGAGCAGGCAGGAGGTTCTATTCTGGCATGCGGTTCTCAATTAAAGGGAAACTCATTTCTTTTGAACCTTTGTTCGTGCCCCTGATTAGATCAAAGTTTGTGGGAGGATTGTCAGACAGTCCAGCAAAAATTATACAGTTGTCATTCTGCATTATTATTGATCATTATTGTGTATTTCCCCTGTTGGTAATTTGTACCATCAAGATCTCATCTACTGTAGCCAATCTGTCTAGCCCATGGTAAAGCAGGTCTACGACCCGAACAATACTGGCTTCGTTGACATGGACATCGTCAAGACCTTCTTCAAGGCATCAGATGTGGAGCAAGGTGGAGCATTTGGATCACCTGCTTTGTGATCTTATGGCAGAATAAGCATGAAGAAGTTTGATTTACCGCTTTCCGGTTTCAAGGCTTCTTAAAGCTTCTTACTTCATTTGTAGGATGTCAAGACACGCTTAAGACTCAGGGCGCCGCCTTTTTTGCCAGAGTTGTGTCATAGAGTCACGGAGGAAATCTGATTCTTGGACAGTTGATGACAGTTGCAAAGGTTGCCGTAGGAGAATGCCTTGCAAACTGAAGTGTTTTCTCCAGTGCCACCTGAGGCCCGCCTGAGATATGTAGAATTTCGGGCAGATATAGTTTCAATCATGGTCTATCATTGCTTCATACACAGCGTGTGTTATACTTTGATGTGTTATGTCTATTGATAGCTCTGTCATCCGTAGTTGGATTCACTTATCCTTCCCATGGTCAGGAGCTGGGCTATGGAGATATTTCGGATGAGGAATCGCAATCTTGAGTAGTGCGGCATAGTGGGCATAGTGGGCATAGTGGGGCTAGAGCACAGTTTCCCTTGGAGCGATTTGGAAGACGGATTGTGTTCAGAAGCAGCCTACATCTCGAGGCCTTTCGAAGTGAAAACCTGCTGGAGATTCCTCATTCGTGCAAGTACAGAACCAATGGGGCTTGCAGCTTCCTGAAGTCTCGAGCATCATCATCATCATCCTCATCGTCATCATCATCATGATCAGAATCATCTCAGAGAGCCGTAGCCAGGATGCCAAAATCATCCTTGAGACTGCCGACGGCGACAAGGACCAAAGGCTCGGGTGCCCTGAATTCACTAATCAGATGACGACGATGACATATCGCCCATGCAAGTTTCTAATGTTGCTGAAAGTTTGAAAGCAAGATGAAACAAGAATGTCACGCTCAGGGCTGCGAACATGGAACATTGATGAATGGCAGATTGGATTGGAATGGCATAGATTGGGCAACTTTGAGATCGTGAAGCTTCGATTTAGCTGTGCCGTTGCAGCAGCTTCAGGATTGGGCTTGACGACTTCCGCATGATGGTGCCCTTTGGTCAACCGCACGACCCGCCTGGGGCCATACTCATTCCAAAATGATTCATTTGAAACAATTAAGTATCAACCACATGCATCCACATGCAGTATTCATGAAAGGGTGACCGTCAGCTGTCACAGACATCATCATTTCTACCTACCAGGTACCCAGTTTGCCTTATGGATCTTCAATGAGTTTCATATATTTTCATGATCTTCATGGATTTTCCCATGGTTTTCTTTGGAATCAGTGGCAATGAAACCAAGCAGTCGCGCGAGGTCTGCGAGCTCCACGGATTGAGCTGAGGCATGGATAAAATGATTGCTGATGATTGCTGCATGTTGATAAATATTGACAAATACAGATACATAATGATACATATAATCATATATATATATAATTTTGTCATATAATTGTCTATAAACCATGCGGGACCTCTTCATTACACATGACATGATATATGATGATGATATGATGTAATGTAATGTTGTAATTCAATATGCTGATTGGCTCTGACCTCCTTCCCACCATTTCCATGCATGTGCCCCGTGCCTTAACCCTTTTGAGCTTCGACCCGGGTGTGTCATTGCCGATTTGGGCAGATGTTGCACAAGAGACATGTTTTTACAGTTAAATCAGCTGTGGTGTGTGGTGAGGTGTATGATAGCATATGGGCGCCGTAACCCCGTGCTTTTAAATCAGCTTAACATTCTGTAGCACCGTTTCTGATGCTTGGATTCTCTGTTTTGCAACTCGGACAAGCTACTCTACGATTTGCAATATTGGTTGTCAATGCTCAACCGCTTTCTTGCGAGAGGCTGATGAGTCATCGCTGGTGGTACAGAAACCTTGTAGATTCCTCCTGTACCACCCAAAGGGTAACACTACATGTGAGAGGAACAAGACAAGAACTTGATACTTGCCAAGGTCAGCTTGATACAGTTCAGAGTTCAAAGATGTTCAGAGCATATAGAATTTATATAAATGAATGTCAACATTTTTCAATGCAGCAGACTCATTTTCTTGGCCGGAACCGCCGGAGTCGCCACGCTATACCAATGGCAGATTTTATGTTGTGAGGTTCTGCGTTTTTGTTTCTCGTGGCTGTAGTTTTGAGGTCAAGGTGCATAGTTCAACTCAGACATGCGCCTGAAGAAATGTTCACAGTTTCACTTGATGGTTTGGGCTAGTTGTGCCCACCAGCCTTGTCTCACCAGAACAGCAAATAGAAGCCTTGTGCCCCATGATTAAAGACCTGAGGTTGGGGGACAAACTCTTTAGCATGTTCACTTTCTGCGTGGATTTGTTCCATGGTGCAAGCGTCAACCAGCAGCTATGGAAAGCAATAATGGGTCCTGGTCGAGCGAATATTTTGTAAGCATCAGCGGCATCAGCCCTCCAACTTTGAAGGTTTCTCGACCTTGGTTGGCTCTGGCTATTTGACAAAGATATGATAGCTGGGACAGAGGCCTGTCCCAATTTGAGGGTTTGAAGAATTCGACCAGACCAGGAAAACCTAGGAATCTGTCAACATGTTTTCTTATTATATTTGTGTTTTGTTTTGCATACTTTGCTTGGCATGGTTTTGCATCATGCGTTAGCAGTTGCATTTCCATGGGATCTGCGAAAGATGACATGTGTTGGCTTGCCGCTGCAATGTCTTAAATCAAGTCAGCCGGGCGTGCCATAAAGTGTGTGCCACTTGTCAAGCACTGTCAAGCACGTGCGTCTTCTTTGCTGTTTCATATCCCGGATTTGTTCATGTCCACGTGTTATCTTCTAAAGTTCGTCCCCCTTGGGGACAGGATCCATGCCTGCGAGGTAACAAGATGTTATAAGACTGACTGTTTGTTTGTGCAAATCATTCACTGTGTGGGCTAAAGTTTGTATCCCTGGACAATCCAAGCAAAGCTGCTCACATTTGCCCCTTGTGGTGAAATTGTGCCTCTCAGCAGGCCCTGCACTTATGGACGTCCTTAGTTTGGAAGTGCCTTTGGGCCCCATTTTGGGCGAAGGTGCAGCTGCCGTGGGACTTTTCATAGTAGCACAAGAGCAGGAGGTAGCAGGAGGCCCCCGGATTCGGATGTGATATGACTGGACCTCGATTCTGGGGGATTCCGCGGGGTCAGTCTGTTTGAATTTACTTAGTTGCTCTCGATTAGTGTGAAAGTACTGGTACATCTGGTAGTGCTTGCAATAAAGCTCCCTGATTTCTTTATTTTCTTTGTCGCATGGGTGTTCATGCCTCCTTCCCCTGCAAATTGTATCAATTAATATCAATTAATTAGTGGCATTACACGCCGAGTATTAATGGGTCATATACCAGTAGAGGCTGGCCATGGAGTGCTAGGTATTGTTGCATCACATTCCCCTAACAACACTGGTTATGAAACACCAATAAGAGCAGGAGCCCATTGCAACATGGCCGCGTGACCCCAATCAGGCACAAGTGGTACAGTGCAACCGTTGGCACAAGACACCTTCGGTCGCTTCGTTGTGAAACGAATCAAGAAGTCCGAGGATAAGCAGGCCTTGGAAAGGGTGGAAAAGCACAGTACATCACAAATCACCGCAATGGCAAGACCACAAGATACCACAAGGTAGCCTTGAGACTGGAGACTCCAGTAACATCGCTGCAACATCCTGTAAGCTTCTGTGTATTTGCCACAGCCTGTGTTCCATCATATTTATTGTTATTATCATTGTATTCGGTTGCATTCCATTGTGCTCCAACTCATTCCGTGGACTATCCGAGTTATGCATATTTATATTCATCATATGTATTTATGATAGTTATTGAATGTTATTCATCGTATTTTATTATATTCATATGATATTCATGCGGATGATTCACTGGAGGCATTCCGTTTCTTTTTGGCCCACCTGTCGTGTCAGGTGGTTACCGAAGAGGTGCGATTGCTGAAGTTGGCATCTGCCGAGGCAGACGTTTTTAGCGTTTTGGGATTGGGAGCTTCCGGCCTGGGGCGCGGAAGCAAAAGTCAAGGTTCATCATAGAATATAGAATCATATCTCTCCATATCTCTCCTGCACTGTGCCACTCATGGAAAGCGAGCTCAGTGAGCTCCCCTGCATTCGCCCTGGGTCCCTCATCGCCTCGCCCTGTCAGTGTCCCTATGTCCTGCGCTTTGCCTTTGCCTTTGAAACCCCCACAGAGCTCCTGGTGATTACAGAGGCCTCACCTGTTGGCCTATGTCGATCAATATTGGTGGGGACACAATGGGACACTCCTGTGTAGTTTGACACCAAAACGATCTAAAAGTTGTAGAGATCGAAGAGAACAGCAGCTGCGTTCTTGACTTCCCACAGAAAATCATTGGGTGAACAACATCGAACAACTGGGTTGCACATTGAGAGATCGCCAACATCAGAGCGTCCCTCCTCTCCGCCATGCCCATGCCATGCCCTGCCCGTGCTAGGCTTGCGACTTGCCCCTTTGGGATGCCTTGGTCCACGCGAAGGAGTGGCAGGACCAATCCCTAGCATCGACTGGCCTCATTGAGAGGCACAAGGGTGCAAAACTTATGCAAGGGTGATCAGAATGATCAGAGTTGTGGTTCTGACCGGATTTCACGCACTTACATCTTGTTGCAGAGATGCACTCAGATCGTTTATGCATACAGTATACACATGTGATCACATGTGTATAAATTACTTGAGTGACTTTAGTGCATACAAATCGAACTTTTCACATGATGATAGGCACATGTTGTATTGAACCTTTGTCAATATGCTTCTTTCACACTATGCATGATGCAGACTGTGAGAGTTTTGTGGCACATCATATAAGGCAACGTGGCCTGTCCCAACTCAGCCTCATAGTTCAGATAATATCTCATCAGCATGTTCTTGCTAGAGTCATTTTGAGCAAAGGAACTGGCACTGATCCAACATGATCCAACTGTTGTCAGATGCTGTCATTTTTTAGCCACAAGGCGTTGCTGGAGCGCTGGGCTTTGCTCAGCAGTCTGCCACTGTCATAGCCTGCGAATACTTCACCGGGACTTTTGGGGTGGCAGGGGACAGGGAATGGCGAAGCAGCAATTCCCTCGCACTATCCCAAATGCTTGCTGCCGGCAAGGAGGCAAAGGATTAGACCCAGGTTCTGTATGGTGTGTATGGTGTATGATTCCAGGTATGATTATATGCCGGCATTACCGGCAAGATTTGGAGGGCTCAAGATTTATTCATTCCTGTTAGCTGTATGAGGATGAATGGTTCTCTCTTGAGGGTTTGGATTGGCATGCATGTTGACAATTCATGAAACAGCACCAATATGCGCTTCGCAATTTTGAGTGCTCAACTAGATTCAGAGTTTCTTCATGAATTGATGATGTCGGAATCTGTGCGCATGCACTACATGTTTGATTGATTGCGGTTGTCTTCCAGTATTGGCTCACCACCCTCCATTCCCTGCGGCACGATTGTACACTACTCCGTTGCAAGGACATCAATCCATGGAACGTACTCCTCGTCAAAGAGACTTCGCTGTGCTTTTGATGTTCTTGTTTTTCTGTTGTTGTTGTTGTTGTTGCTGCTGCTGCTGCTGCGCTGGTGTTGTTTGATGTTTGGAACTTATCATGTTTAGCTGTTTGTGTTGTTCACATGTTTTCTTTGCCAAAAGAAGAGTCCGAGGAGAGTGGAATTTGGTCCCCTCGCCTGGGTGACTTCGGCTTGGCAGTGGAACTACAAGGAGAGGAACTTCAAGGGACTGAGGCTGGGGCAGCTGGGGGCCACTAGGAGTTGACAGCACTTGACAGCCAGTTTGGCCAATGATTTCGGTGCTCCAAGGGTTGGAAGGTGATTGCTGGGTGCCCCAAAGCCACCAAGAAGCTCCTAGGTAACACAGTGAGATAGGTGTTGGGCACATGACCCGGCAAAATCCCAACGTTGTCCTGGTGAACACCCTCCAAAGTAAACCTATGGCTAAAGTAGTCCACTTAAATTCCACATACTGTGTATACACACGGTTACCGGTACACGGATATGTGTATATATATATATATATTAACATTATGCCACGTAAGACGATGTAAGACGATCTCAGTGAGCGTGCTGACTCGCGCTGCCGCACAAGGCAACTAGCGATGGTGTCGCTGCTTTGGATGACTCAGCTGTGGGATCCCTGTACTCCGCCCCCGAGTTGGGCAAGAGATATGGCTGCTAAACTGCAAGCTCAGAATGGTCGGCCCGACGGGGGCAGTTGTGGGTTGATTCATGATGATTTATGTTGATTTGACATGAACATCATGAACGCGCCCTCTCCCAATGTCGGATCCGGTTCAGAGATGTGGCTTTGAGTCGAGCGTTGGTGACCTCTGGGAAGGCGCAGGCTCACCACATCAATTGCCGCACGGAGCGTTGGGCAGCGCTCAGGTTTAAAGTTTGAACTTCTCGCCAGTCCAGACAAATGTTGACGTCAATTCCAAGGTTATCAAGGTTTGGTTGGGACAGCCATGTGCTCACATCATATTTGAAATATGTTTAAAACTTGGAGGTCAAAATGGTCAAAGGGTAAAGCATGTAAAGATATGTAAAGGGTAGGTAGTCTTTAGACTTTGGCGGAGCTTGTCTCTTTGGGATTTTGGATCCAAGGATTTCCAGCTGATGTCTTCAGCTTGGGGATGACCCTGGTAGCGCTTTGGGCATCTGCCTCCATGGATGAGGCACCGGCGATGAAATTCGTGTGGCACGCACTGCACGCACCTGCTGTGTTCCTTCCTGAGCTTTCGGAAATATATCAACTTGCCAAATGAAATGAGTGCATATCAAGTTGGGAGCTGTTCAATGTTTACCCAAAGTTTACCCAAACTGCTGCCTTGAATCGGACTACTGAGCGCAGGGTAAACCTGCCGTTCCAGTATGCTTGTTCCACATTGACATGTCCTCCAGATTTGGCCTCCGCAGCATTTTAAGCCGTCGCACATTGTGATCCCCGACTCCAAACAGCATCATGGCTTCTCGTGCCCCAGCTATGAGGCACCAAGAATGAAAGGGCTGGTCTTTGACGGGCCATGATGAGCCATGATCCAGATCCAGCCCCAACACAAGGGCTTCTATACTTCACAATGCCTTTCAATGACTCGGAAAATTTGATTTGCCCTGAAAGTTGGCCGCATATGCGAGGCATTCAGACTCAATTGTGGTCCGCCACCATTGTCCGTAGTCAAGAGCATGCTTGTCAATGCTAAGCTACAGCATGGTACCAACATGTCCTTAGCCAGTCCTTTGGATAATTAGATTCCTTTCACAGGTTCATCCTGAAGATTGTTGAAGTTCACAACTAGTAAAGAAACAACACACATGTTGAGCTCTATGAATGTTGCTGTTAATTCATATTTAGATTCATTCCTGGCAACCCAAATATGGATGACCTGGCAGGTCCTTGGCGAGAGCCTGCCGCTTGGCGAGGCAGATTCACTCAAGTCGCTTGCTCCTTGCCGGCACAGAGTGAAGCTCGTTTTGCCCTTTCTCTCTTCACTATGAAAGGCATTGAAGTCATTGAATGACATAGAATGACAATGACATCAACATGAAGTATCATGAAGTTGCATCCGTGTTTCTCAGATTTTCTCAGCCCTTATGCATACTTGTGTTAAAGATGTTTTGTGTCTTGTGGCTTTCTGCCTTCGCTACAAGGCTCAGAACCGATCAGATGAAGATCCGCTCGCCAGTCGCAGAGGCCCTCAAGGTCACATCCTCCACGGTATCCGGGAAGTTGCCAAAGAACCTTCCGCGACTCGGAGAACTATAGAATGGGGATTCCCAGGAATGCCCTGGGGATATTGAATGATATCAACGATATCAGCATCGGCATGTAGCAGCTACATATGCATACATATGCATGCTGCATGACCCTATGCATTTTCTTCTGGTTGGCTTCAAGCACATGCATGACCCTATGTATGTTTTCTCATCTCCCTTGGTACCTCCAAATTATATGCATTTCCTGTTTGCAAATTTTATGCATTTTGGATCATAATACTGATGAAAAAGATGTCCTGGAGGATTTAGGGCTGCCACTGCCGGCGGGTTTCCCACCGGAAGACTTTCGATTACGCAGACTTAACGGGACTAACGGTGTGGGTGCTGGAACTTGGAATTGGAACAACAAAGTCAGACTGTTTGCAACACATGTATTTTTGCAAAACAGTATCTTTATTTTTTAAGGATTTGGATGGCGCATGAACACCTCCTCCGACTCTCACAGGCACCACGCGGATGCAGACATGGCCATTCTGCACAACCTTGGCATCGAGACGGAAGCCGTCCACCATAATGCCCGCCCTGGGACCTTGTACGATGAGGTGCCACAGCATGCGGTTTCTCAGGGCATGCGTTCAAACCCATTTGTGTCCAAAGAAACCTGGAAACACGGATGTTCAGAATTTAGGAAGTCTTGCTGATTGATCTTTTTGTTTCTCGGGTTTGTCATGTTTATTGGCACTCAATGGCACTCAGTCTTGCGTGCTGCCCTGCTTGTCATTCTTTCTGTTGTGTTGTTGTTCTTGTTGTTCTCATTGATGTTGCTCTTCCTCTCGCTCCTGCTGCTGCTCCTGCTGCTGCTGCTTCTTCTGTTGTCAGGAGTGCGAAGACACACTGCAGATCAGGAGGGTTTAGTTACTGTAAGTATGGTTTTGTTTTTCCCTCATTTTTTATAAATAGATACAGGATGGTACAGGTACAAGATACTATTCATTCGGTAAAGTATTCGACCCAAGAGTCAGAAAACGGTATATCTTGTGAACAATTATTAAATGAACCATGAGAAAGTTTGGGACAGGTAGATCAAGTGCCTTTCAGATTGAACCCCTTCAACCAAACATTGGCATGGGCAGGTGATACAAATCAATCAGCGAAAGCAGAGCACAAGAAACACGCAACAGTCCGAGCTTTTCCTAACAAAACAGTAAAGAACATGAACGGAATGAAACACACATGGAAAAACGAAAGCAAAGGGACACATTCTTTTTGAAGAAACAGTTCCCCAAAACATAGTCTTGAGAAAACATAATCATAAAAAGCGAACAAACAATAACAGAAACTGATATATTTTTGGCTAACTTTTGAGGAAAAAAGTGTACTTTAACTAATTTTTGGGAAAATTCTGGATCAGGCCGAACAAGAATCATAGCATGGATCAATGTGTCTATAGTTTGTTGCCTTATTTTCATGTGATTTCACGTTTTTTAACCTTCAAACCCCACTGATCTAGGGTGTGCGTCGACACCCTGACGTTGCTGTTGCTGCCGCTGGTGGTGGTAGTGCAGCGAAGTAGTTATCTTTAGCCGCTGGCTTTCAGGCTCTGCGCTATGAGAAAGGTTCCGCCATTTTGTCCACGGGCGCGCTGGCCGCCTTTTCGGGTGCCAAGACAGGGCGCTCCCCCTTGGACAAACGTGTGGTCATGGAGCGAAATTCGCGGGGCTTGGGATGTGGCGAACCTTTTGTTCCCAACTATAGGATCTATAAGCTAAGTTGGACGTAAATGGGCCAGGTAATTAGACAAGCAGGCTGTCAGGTTGGACAGGCGTAAAGCACCAACAGTTTCGCATCTGATTTGGGATCGGATCGAGTTGTTGAGGCATCGGTTGCTCCCGGCCGCCTACCAGGAGCCAACCACGAAGGACGATGTTTGGTGGGGAACAGTGAACTTGCCCCTGAGTGAGAACAGCTTCAAGATCAATCGATACTTGGCATTCAAACTCGATGTCTCGAATTCCAACCACCAACGGATCATGATGAATCTCCGTCAGGAGGCTAAGCCCGTAGTATTGGATCCCGTTGGCTGATTGTCTTTGTCATGGCCCAATGGTTTCAATGAATTTTTTGTCCATATTTTTTTTGGAAGAATTGTCTTTCAGAGTACTCAGGTTCTTTTATGGTTTGTTGCTACTCTAGTTTCTTCTTAAATCAATCAATGATGCAAATGGGACAGGTAGCAAACTAAGACAATATAGTGTTAGGAAGCCGACAGCAGCCCCTATTCTCGAGGTGGAAGGAGGGTGCATGCATCACTTGCATCAATTTAAGTTGTGACATTTTCGCTGCAAATCAGGCAACCCTAAAACCTAAAACCTAAAACCCTAGACTCCTAAAACCCTAGACCCTAATTCTTAGAAGAATAAAGTCAAAATCACTGCGTGTAGCCAGTGTTTTCCTTCATCCTCTGGTGACAAACGCAATTGTTTTGATGTAAGATTTGAGCGTTGGTAAATGTTTGCTTTGGCGTGTTTGTCTCGTTGGTCCTTTTTTGTTGATCATTTGTCCCTACAGATCTCAGGAGAGCGAGCAATCGACTACTTGAACACTCGCCCCAGATTGTATGTCCTTGATGGTTTTGCCGGGTGGGACCCGGAGTTTCGCTACAAGAGACTTGGACAGCAGAGGGAAATAGAGGGAATATGTATTCCCGCGGCTGCGGATGTCTGCACATACAAAATCATACAAACACTGCTGCAATTTTATTGTGTCCATTTGTTTCCTAGTCCGCGCTTGCAACGATCAAGGTCGCCTCAATCAGGAAGCGTTCTAAGCCCACAGCGAGAGAGGGGGAGAGAGAGAGAGAGAGAGAGAAAATCAAAAAAAGGTGGTAGAAGTAGGGGCCCTTGGGAGGAACATGCTTCCGAACATGAATCAAGCAATGTCTAAGCTAGCACACCTCCAGCAGCACATTCTTCAAACAGCTGCTGGTGTGGAGAGGGAGTGTTTTGGAAATGAATAGTTTTCTGTGTGTTCCTTGCCGTTTCCTGGCACAGACATGTGTCCGATGCGGTCATCCGCAAGGATTAGAATTATTACCAGCCGTGCCTATCACGCCCTCTTCATGCACAACATGCTGATTCGCCCTACTGCAGAAGAACTTGCCAACTTTGGCACCCCAGCTTCCTTGATTTGCTTCAGCAACTTTGTGACTGGCTTTCTAGTCAGTGGGCTTCGGGTGCAACCTGCCTGCATGTAATGATGTAATTCCCCCACAAGTATATCACACTCTCGCACTTCGTGTGAGTCGCAATCAGAGCTGAACCCTGGTGAACCTATGGTGAACCTAGCAGTCCAGCATCCATCAGGGTCCACAAGACATGGGAATGGCCGGGCATGGCCGGGGGCTGAGATTGGCTGAGGACTATACGATTTACAACGCAGGCGCTTTCCCTTGCAACCGGGCCACTGAAGGCATGGGCTCCGGCACCTCGGTGTCTCTGAACTTTGCTTCCAGGGAGGTGGTGATTCTCGGAACGCAGTACGCTGGGGAAATGAAGAAAGGCCTGGTGCACCGGTATGGCCATTGGTGGCCGGGGCGGTTGGCCCGTCAGTTGGGGACGTTTACTTGGCCATTGGTGCAGCATTTTGATGCATGTTGACGCATTTTGGCTAACGTCCATGAACTAATTCAATTCGTGACCATCGCACACTCCATCTATAACTTAGATCATGAAGACTGATGGCCCTTGGTGCGGAACGGTGCGGATCATTGTAGATGATGCTTCGGGCAGGTGTGTTCACCATCATGAACTACCTCTTGCCCAAGAGGGGTATTCTCAGCATGCATGCCAGCGCCAACGAGGGCAAGGACCCAGCAGTCAACTGTCTGTCAAAAAAATCTAGACTGCTGTCACTTCTGAATCTTCAAGGGTATGGCCGGATCATCAAGTCAAGTGAGGGCAAGGGGCTCTAAGTTGCTAATCTTGCTAGTAACTTAGGTGACTCTAATTGAAATAACTTGGTATTTGGTCCATTTGGTCATCATGTTTTCCAGTTTGCACCCTGGAGGATGGTGATGTCACCATTTTCTTTGGCCTGAGCGGCACCGGGAAGACGACGCTCTCAGCCGACGAGAACCGGATGCTCATCGGTGATGATGAGCATGCCTGGACCAGCAAGGCCGATGCGCCGGCTTCGGACATTCTCATGCACGTGTCACCTCAGAGCTGA